GGGTGACAGCGAGACTCAGAAAAAAAAAAAAGAAGATTATTTTAGGATTAAAAGTTACATTTGTCTTTTCAGAAAAAGAAAAGAATTTCATTGGCCAGGCGTGGCAGGTCATGCCTATAATCCCAATGCTTTGGAGGCTGAGGTGGGAGGATCACTTGATGGGAGGAGTTCAATACCAGCCTGGGCAACACAGCGAGGCTGTCTCTGCAAAATATAAAAGGAGCCAGGCATGGTGGTGCCTATAGTCTCAGCTATTCTTGAGGCTGAGGTGGGAGAACTGCTTGAGCCAGGAGTTCAAGACTGCAGTGAGCCATGATTGTATCTGTGAGTAGCCACTGTACTCCAGCCTGGGGAGACCCCATCTCTTAAAAAAATTTAAAAAATGAAAAAACTGAACTTCAGCAAAATAAGGGATTTTTATGTACCAAAAGACATAATCAACACCGTGAAAATGTAACTCAAAAAATGAGAGAAGGGCCAGGTGCAGTGGCTCACACTTGTAATCCCAGCACTTTGGGAGGCCAAGGTGGGCAGATCTCTTGGTTGGAGACCAGCCTGGGCAACATGGGGAAACCATGTCCCTTCAAAAAGTACAAAAATTAGTCATCTGTGGTGGCACATGCCCGTGGTCCCAGCTACTTGGGAGGCTGAGGTAGGAGGATCACTTGAGTCCAGGAGGTGGAGGCATGCAGAGAGCCATGTTCGCATCACTGCACTCCAGCCTGGGCAACAGAGTGAGACCCTGTCTCAAAAAAAAAAAAAAGAAAGAAAAGAAAAAGGGAGGGAGAAAATATTTGCAAATCATATATCATATATCTGATAAGCAACTGGTATCTAACTAGGCATAGTGGCTCATGCCTGTAATCCTAGTACTTTGGGGAGCCAAGGCAGGAGGATTACTTGAGCCCAGGAGCCAGAAACCAGCCTGGGCAACATGGCAAAACCTTGACTCTACAAAAAATCTTTTAATATTAGGTGTACACCTTTGGTCCTAGCTACTTGGGAGGCTAATGTGGGAGGATTCCTCGAGCCCAAGAAGTTGGGGCTGCAGTGGGCCACGTTTGAGCCATTGCACTCCAGCCTGGGTGA